ATTAGAAACCTAATACCTGTCAGGAGCAGAGTACCAAGAAACATTTCAGCTGTTAAATCTGGAACAGACTCAGTGGAAACCATGGAAAATAGCAGCAGCGTTTCAGGCCTCAGAAGGCTTAGATCCAGATTTAAAGACATGTCTCAGCTGTCACTTTGAAGGAAGCGTTAGTTATGCAGTTACGCTTGGATTTGCCTCCCACCTCTAGTTTTATTTTAATGTAAAATTGTGAAAACGTGCTGATGCACAGCATTTGTAGTTCTCTGTTGAATGCATTGCGCTAGTTTTTGTAGCTAAGATTGCTGCTGTGTAAAATCATAGGATCACAGAATGGTTTGGGTTGGAAGGGACCTCAAAGCTCATCCAGTTCCAACCCCCCTGACATCAGCAGGGACACCTTCCACTAGACCAGGTTGCTCAAAGCCTCATCCAACCTGGCCTTGAACACTTCCAGGGAGGGGGCATCCACAGCTTCTCTGGGCAACCTGGGACACTGTCTCACCACCCTCACAGGAAAGAATTTCTGCCTAATATCTAATCTAAACCTCCCCTCTTTCAGCTTAAACCCGTCACCCCTTGTTCTATCACTACCTGCCCTTGTCAAAAGTCCCTCCCCAGCTTTCTTGTAGCCCCTTCAGGTAATGTAAGGTCGCTAGAAGGTCTCCCTGAAGCCTTCTCCAGACTGAACAGCCCAAATTCTCTCAGCCTGTCCTCATAGGAGAGGTGCTCCAGCCAAAATGTTAGATGCAGAAAAAAAGAGTCAGTGTTTCTGTTTTTTCTTTTTCTTTTCTGCTCTCAAATTCCTTAATATTTACACAGAGGACATTTGGCTGAAGAATGGCTTGCAGGCATGGGCTGGCAGAAGTAACATTTGCAATGCGAGGAATATATCCAGAATGCCACATTGCTGTGGCAGGAGCAAGAGCTCAGCAGACAGCTTTCTGCTGCACTGTATATCACTGACCTGTGTGACCAACCTTTGGCAGATGCAGTGCTCCAAATGCCTCTGCTCAGGTACAGATTTACCCAGAGGACTCTGAGGACTTTGTCTCTTTCCTCCTCACGTTAGCAGTGCACGCTGCAGCGTGCCTGCCATGGCATACTGGGGTGCCTGTCCACCTCTCATCTCCATCCTGTAGCTATGATGAGTCTTGCCACGATGCTTTTTCCTGTGCATCTTGGTGCATTGTATAAAGACTGAGGAATGAAGCGCTGGTGCATGCAGGGAAAAGTGATGCAGCAGCCACTGTTTATGTGGGGAAACTGAAGAAAGGGAAGCCGAAGTGAGTTGTGGGTGGTGCAAGATTTAGGAGCAGACTTCCACTTCCAGTCACCCAGTGTTTTGTCTTGCCCTTACTTCTGCATACCTAATTATCTCCATTCTGTGACATGAAGGTGATAGCACTGGAAACTGCTTTGACATTTGCAGACCCCAAGCAGAACACTTAATTCAATAACTCTTTGGAGAAGGTGCCTTTAGGTGCAGAGCAGCTTGCAGAAGCGTTCTGGTGGAGTCCTTGCTGCCACATGGGCCCTGGCTCTCTTTAGGAGCTTAACCTACTATCAGCTTTGGGGAGCTAAGAGTTTTCTGTAATTTCAGACCTCTACAGCCAGAAGGGAGAAGTGTTCTTGTGCCCATTTCTCCAGCAGTCATTGCCATCTGAAAGCAGGCAGTGGTGGCAGCAGTGCGTGGTGTTTTATTGAAGTATTAAATTTTACACAATTTTACCAGCTTGAAGTCACCTTAAAAATAATCTTTCAACTATATAATCACTATAATAATGCTTATGCTAAAATGTAAAGGAGGATGTTAGGCTGGAGTCCCAGTTCCTAGCTGGCGCGGTGTGCTGCTACTCTGTGTGAAACCTGAAATGAAGCATGGGCTAGTGTAGGGCTGGCACCCTCTGCTTCCCCCGAGGACGCGGCAGCGAGTGTTCAAGCTGTGGCACAGAAGAAGCGGTGCCTGGGTGACGAAGAGGTTAAAGTACACATATGGTTTGACAGTAAAGCTAATCTGACCTGGTGACTAGCTACTGCAGAGGGAGGCGGTTGTGCTTTACAGCCCTGACTGGTCTGTCTCCCCGTCCCATCCCTGTGCTGCTCCTGGTACGTGTTTGACCCTGCAGGGCCCTGATTCAGGGAGCTGAGTGGCAGGAAAGTTTCCCTGTGTTTTGCAGGGCTAATTTTCTGCTGATTTTGCTTCCTGAACTGTCTCCTGAGACATCAGACAGGTGTTGGTGCTAACACAAAACAGGGTGATGGGATCGCATAGCAAGCGAGGGGGTGTAGAAACGTCCTTTTATGCAGCAGCTGGCTGCTAGATTGTATTATCTGTGCCCTCTGCCTGCATCCTGAGGCTTCATAACAGCAAATGCCACAAATCCCTTTGTGGGAACATGGGTGTGATAGATACTGCAGTAGGAGAAAATAAAATCCGTTTTCTGGTTTTGGTTTTCTTAGGAAAACCCGTTGGAAACATGTTCACGTGTATTTAATATAGCGACTGCTAGACTAGAGGATAAATATAAAGATAAATCAGTTTATGAACCTTAGCACTGAAAAATAGTTGTGAAAGCCTTTAATCTCTCATGTTCTCAATTTCCCCTCTCACATGGTAAAGACTTAATGCTTAGATAGCATTCAGGCTGGCAAGGCACGCTGGAGGGGCTATGTAGCTAGGTAGCTAGCAGCAATCTGTGGAAGAGTAGAGAGAGATCTCTTCACAAGAACTTTATCACTTAATATGAAAGCACTTTGTTATAGAAGGGCCAGATATGCTTCATTTTACTTCTGAGGAACTATTCACAAAAACAGTATTTTCAGTGGCTTTTGGTCTTTGCTAGGGATAGAGAGAAAAGCTGCTGGAAATTCATTATTTATGCTTAGATGCTTCCTTCTTTTCCAGCCACTTCTCTATGCTGGAATACCTTGATGATTTTGCAAGAAACTATTTCCATTCCAACGAATAAACATCTCCGTAGGAATCTAATTTAAGTTTTATGACATATGCTGGATCATTTGAACCTATGATCCAAGTTTTGTTGGAACAGGAACTTGGAATGGCATATAAGAAACTTAAAAAAATCCTTCCTTTCGTATCACAGTATGATTGTGGATTCATAATTTCACCAGGTTTATCTCTGTCAGTGACATTTATAAAGAACAGTTTCCCAGTGGGATAGCCAGCAGTGTTTTTTCATACCTGAAGCATCACTAGAAAATAGCAGAGAGATCTGGTGCTAGATTGTATATTTTTATGCTATAGGATTCATGTGATTATTTATAGAAGCTGCTATCTGTAATTACAGCACACATGAGACAGAAAGAAAACCTGACAACCTGTCAGAGGGCTGCTATGAAGAAATACACAAATAATTTGTAAATTCCTTCTTCTTTCTCAAATCACAGAGAAACTGCTTTCTCTTATGTGTCAAGGATGAGGGGGAAGTTGTGTTTCACTAATGTCAAAAAGTGACCGTTCCTAGACAGCATCCACTTAACAACAAGCCGAGGGTCTGTGCCATCGCGTCTCTTGTACCCCCATTTCTGGATGTTTTCTGTCATCATCACTGTTCTTGATGATGGAGTCTCAGCTTGGTAAGTTCTGCACTAATATGTAAGAAGATGTCACTGCTCTGAGGAGCCCACATTCTGTGAGAAAAATAGGGAATCTGCCATCATGTCCCTTTCTTTTTTGATTGTTGTTGGGTAATCTCTTAATCCAGCAATTTTCTGATCAAAATCTTGCAGGTGGTCCATGCCAAATGGTCTTTTCCCAGAGTTTAAATGAGGAATTGTTTGCCAAGTGACTGTATCGGGAAGGATTTTCCATGTGTGGGGGAATGTGCAAGGAAAGGCATGACAACACTTGTGCACTCCTTCCTGTTATTCACTGGTGGATCAACTATAGTGGATTTGGAGTGTATTTGATTTTATCAGTCATTAAAAACTAAGTAGCTTTGTTAGCTAATGTTTCAATTAAAGATCCAAATATCTACAGACTACATCTGATATATGCTGTATGCCATTATGTTCTCTAATATAAACCGTTTCTCAGTAGCCTTTGCGTTCACTTAATGAACTGCGTTGTCACCCTGCGTAACTGTCGACATTGGAAAGTCCTAATCCAACAAACACATATATGGTTGGCTTCATTCCTGTGCAGGGACTTGTGAGGGAAAGCCAACCATCTACCTAAGATTTTGTGTGATAGGGCCAAGGTTTATTATGTTTCCCTGACAATGCAGGATCCATCTTGGCATGTTATATGACCATACTGCAAATGCAATACAATGAGGATATCAATATTTAAAATATAAAAGAAAGTCAGAAGTGAAAGATGGCAAATCTTTTTCATCATGATACCATCAAAAGAAGAGATTAGATAACTACCTAGGGTCACCCACATGTTGATGCTTTGTGGGTGCCTGCTCAAAAATTTGGCCAACCTGCCTTCAGGGATGTTGATATCAAGAAAGAGCCAAGTATATAAAAAACAAATATCAAAATATATCAATGTATCAGAAAGTATCTCCCTTGCACAAACTGACACCCTGTCTAGGACTCTCATATTCAGAAAAAGGATGTGGGCTGGACTGTGGACAGAACTGCTGTTGCCCTCCTGCACGTTCAACTTTTCCAGAAGTATAGAGTAAAAATGTGTTTATTAAGTACTGCTGGGATGCTTGCATTAGTGCTTATGCTGGTTTACGTATTGGAAAGTTAATCACATCAGTGTTAATAGCACACTTTAACTGCTTCAGCATTATTTGAATTAGATTTCACACTAGTTAAGCTGATGGTCTTGAGACACAACAGAGCGCTCACCATTTCCACGTGGATGCTGTGTGCATAGTGGACAGGTAGTTCAGTCTGGATAGATTTGTACTATAAAAAGAAAGAGTTTACTTGCTGGAAAGTGGAGGACCCGTGTTCTTAATCCAGCCCACTTCAGCTATGATGAAAAATACTGGAAGGAAAAAAAAGTCAAACAAACCCCCTGATATTCTTTATTTTTATTATAATTTTAACAACATGATTAAATTGAAATCTGTAAGCAAAGCAATTACATGAGGAGGGTCTAATAAAGTTGTTCAAGCTACAACCTACTTTGATTGTTGAATCAAACTGAATAAAGCAGGCTGCTTTGATGGGTTTTTAGCTTCCACGAACATAGTTGGCAGGGACATCTTCTTTTGCTTTAATGGCAGTGGTCTTCTGTGGGCTGGGAGTTTCAGAATCAGCTGAAAGTAAGTAAATAAATAAATAAAATTGGTCACTACAACAAATAG